GGTGGTGGTTTCACTTTACTTGGGATTGGGACTTTGAAGACACGCATCAAACCAATCCCAAATCACGATAAGATAAACCGATATGGTGTGGTTGAATTGATAAAACCATGATCCATCTAATGGTGCATTTCGTATATTCCTTTGCGTCAAGTAAAGCATATTCAAAGAATATTCAATATCTCTTTCTTCTTTTAATAAACAGTACAGAGAAAAAAAGTAAAATTTTCAAATGTAACAGAAGAATGGTAATAATCAAGAAAAAAAAAGTGAAGTACAAAACAATTGGAGCTATGTAAGATTACTCTCAAAGAGCTCCATTTTTTAGAGTTGGTAACAAAGAATCATCTCTTTAGCAATCTGAGCACATCTCCAACAAGATGTAGCGATCCTGTGACCAGAACCTGTAGCACACAATCACCAAAGAAGACAATACCAGAGAAGTTAATGCTCTGTTCTATTCTGTAAGTGTCTGAAAACAAAAATCAGACTTTGACTACCTCTAGTTTCAGTGAAGGGTTTCGGCGTACGCAGTCTCGTAGCCAGTTTATAGTCAGTGGAAGTGAAGGCATTACGGCGCTAGAAATGACATGTGTCCCTGCAGGTCCACCACAATGAGGTGCATCTCCACACAGGAAATCATGAGGTGGTAAGGTGGTTACTCCATCGAGCTTCTGTGTATGGTCAAGAGTAGTATCTGATTGATCAGCAGACATATGATCAAGCTTAGGCGCAACATCAACAAGTACAAAGAAGCAAAAAAAATAAAAATAATAAGCTAACCTGTTCCTTGGATTGATCTCTCCCAGAGTTTCTGCAGTCTGAATTGCCAAGTTAAATCCTTTCTACGTGTATCTGATGGAATAGCTGATGCGCCCGAAATTACCTTGTTGTAAGTTGACATGCTCGGGACGAAAAGCGCTCTTGAAAAATGAGTACCTGAGAGCGTTTCATTCACAAAAATGCACAAGTATTAAGTAACAAGAAACTATAAAAAAGAGAGTATAATTTGTTTTCAAATTACCTGAGGAAGCGCAAGTGGTCACGAGCTTTGGAAGTAAAACTTGAGGGTCTCTCACTTCCATGCAGTTGAACAGAAGAATCTATTAACACATAAGAGCTCTTCACAAGTTAGATCAAAGTATGACATTGTATAGAGAAGAAAGCAAAGGAGCTGTCTTAACAGACCAATTCCATTGATCATTGTTGGTCTTAAGTACCTGTTTGGAGACTCCGTTAAAGTCTCTGCCAAACTCCCCATGTCTCCTGTAACCATTGACAGCAGTAGATAAGCTTTTGTTTCCTCTGACAGCGGTAGAGAACCATCGGCCACAAGCGTCCATGCTCTCTGGACTGTGAGCTCCATCCAAGTAAAAGATCAGATCACCGCATGGAGTCTTCATCGAGCCTGAAGAATCTTGCGGATCTGAAACTACATCATGAACAACTTGAGCTCTCCCATGAAGACGTGCCGTTGCAAGACCACGAGAAAACGCTGCGGGAATCTCAGTTTCCTTGCTTCCCTGATAATAAAAATCCCAAAGGAAAAAAACAAGATTCATCAAATAAAGTCCTTGGAAGTTTTGATAAAGGATTGATGACCAAGGGCAGAACACAACATTTGGAAATAACTTCTCCCAGTTCCCAGTTCTTTGAAGCCAGCATCTAGAAAGAGAAACAGCAAGACCTGCGTTTACAAGCTGATGATCCCCAGACAAGCCAAGTGCAACTCCATCCAACTTTTTAAGGTCAAGAGGTGCTACTACTTCAAGAGGAACCTGTAACGCACACCAAAAAGAATTCAGCATTTATTTCTTGTGGTTCCGTTTTTTTTATAACAGCATAACTAAGCCACAGACGCACAAAAGACCATGATAAGGTTTGAAACAGAAACTGCTTTATTTCCAAAACTGAGAATCAGAGACCAAGGTCAAAGATAGAACCCTGGTGATGAATTCTAGAGCACCCCCAAATTCTCACAAACCCAAACCATTTCCAAAACATTTGATCCCCCTTCCCATGTTTCAAGCCTCTCCTAGTTATATTGATCCTAGCACTAATACACGCTGATACGGCATGTAAGCTCTTATCAGACCTACAACTATTTATGTACATATACTGACTTGGGATAAGTGGAATGAAAAATAAAATCTATAACATTAACTACCTTTAGATTATTAGCTGTTTCCTGAAGAACCTCCATTGCTTCAGAGAGTTGTGGTACTGTGAAGGCGGGGATTTGAGGCTTTCATTAGCATACAAGAAAACAGAGCAAATCAGAGAATATCTAACATGAAGCTGCCAATGGGAACTCTTTAAACATATATATTGTATTTATTAAATTATGGGACACAGAAAAACTTTTGAAAACTAGCTAATAAAATCAGAAGGTTTGTACCTTGAAAATCCCAGCCTTATGGAAAGCAATGTCAGCTAATGTATTTCCTATGTAAATTAGCAATGAGAAGCTAGAGTTATTAAAGCGTGAGAGTGAAAGTACATTTGCTAATGAACTGAGAATAGATACTATGGCATACCCAATATATCCATATGATCCATCCCAAGAGAAGCGACGCCGCAGACAACAGGTTCTTGAATCTGTATTTTACATATTTCCATGTTAATGAAGACAGCTCGAAACCTTTTCTAGAAGCTATGACAGATAACGTGGGGGTGGGGGACAGATTCTCAAAAGATGCTTACCACGTTTGTTGAGTCAAGTTTTCCCCCAAGTCCAACTTCGATGACAGCAACATCAACCTATCGAGAACAATAGTAGTCAGCATAAGTTTTAGCCAAATGCATAAGGTTATTTATGCAATGGGAGCTCACTGCAAATAGACAATGAAAGATAATACTACAAGGAAGCGTGAAAGTAAAACACTATATTGTGAGAAAGCATCACTAGGTTACAAGTGATGCAATACAAAAGGACTTATATGATGCAATTGCAAGGATGGCCCAATATTTCTCATAGTCAGTAACCAACTAACCACTGCTTGTGTTCGGAAACAAAAAAAAAGTGCAACGCATAAGCTTTATTTGAAAAATATGATCATATACCTTTTCACATACAAAAATCTTAAATGCCAATACTGTGAGGAATTGAAAAAGAGGAGGCATGGTAAGACCATCTACAGCTTTCTCCTGCATAGAAGAAGCTCACAATTAGATATGTATACTAAACTGAGTATTTTACTCGTAGTTAACTATCTTTCTGCAAGAAAAATACAGCCAACATATCCACAGATAAAGGCAAAAAAAACTTAGACTGAGAAAATTACAACAAAAGCAATGCAAAGAGTATGATGTCTGGTAATTCGTGGCAGAAAATGAGCAAAGAACAATACTTTAAGCCTATATCAAATCATACATCTCAAACTGGAACCAAGAGCAATGCATATCTACAAGGGTTTACCTTCAGTAACTTCCAACATTCCCAGAAATACTGTAGAAACTTTTCCTCAGATATATCCAAGCTGGAAAAGTGAAATAGCATTCAAAATGGTCTCTTGTGTGTTCATGTAACACTGAACATCACATATTGATGAACTTACCCATCTATTCGGAATCTTTCCCTCACATCAATCAGGTGAGGAGATGTAAACATTCCAGTTCGAAACCCACAGTTACGTAAAATTGCCTCAGAGAAGACACATGTTGAACCCTGCAAACACACAAATTTGAAGGCAAAACAAAGAAAATCAGTATCTACATAGTGATATTCCACCACTGAATATAACTTTCATACCACATAGGCTATAACTATTGATTAAGGGAATTCCAAAATTTAGAAGTCTTGGGCGTAGACAAGCATTAGTTAGTAACACTGGGCACCTTGGTTAATCAGCATAGATAGTTAATTCACCACATGGTCTGAATTTTTTTTAACTACTCGAAATTGGAAACAAAATCGTGTCAGATAAAATTCCTTCTACTACTAACTTATCTCAAGCTATATTTCAAATTCCAGGGCCTGCTTAAGTTGGCAAAGTGAAAAGGCAACTTACCTTTCCTTTCGTTCCCGCGACATGAATAACTTTTAGTTCTTTTAATTTGTCCTCCAGGTCCAAAATCTGTAGTTGTCAAACCAAAACAGCAGACACAACTCCCAGTATTTAGTACCATCAAAACGGAAAGATTAATAATGATAAGGGAAAACAGATGCAGCAGGTCCAGCTACTGTACAGATATCACATAGTATGAAGGTAAAGTCTTCAACAGAAAGGATGAAAGAGATTTCACTTGAATCACAAGAAGAAAACAGAAGTTATTGTTGACTGTAAATGGCTGTATCACCTTGAGATATGTGGCGACTTGTTCAAGCTTGTCGCGATTTGCTCTGGTAGGCGAACGGTCGCCACGGTTTCTACGAGAAATAAGAGTCGACAGCGCTTCCATTGCATCATCATATGAAGATAAAGCTGGATTATCTACCTTGTCTTCCTTGGCACCCATGTCAATGGTACCTTTCTCTACAACTTCTATTGATTTGCTCGAGTACCTAAGATCTAGAGACGCCAACAGGGCAATAAGAACACCTGCCCCAGGGATGAAACAATGCTAAGCAGCAGAGTGGTGTACAATACTTACTATTGTTGAAATAAACACGATCCCCAGAGCCAGAAGGTAATCTGTAAAATCCCCACGTTGTTTTAGTGAAGAGCGATTCTCTTTTTCCACAAACTAATGGAACTCGAGGTGCTCCGCAGTTTAGAAACCCATTCACATAAACGAGCATCAGGGAATCTCAAATCTGCAGCCAAAACACATAGCTTGATAAGTTGCTAAAACCGTCCTTGTTCTCCATTCACGAAATTGGTCAATCCCAAAGTTTCCTTATTTCAAAAATCCAATCAACAAGTCAAGTCACCAAAAAATCACAACATCGCTATTGAGTCTTCTAAAGAGCTCTTCACGGAAATTTCAGATACAAGTAAAGTTCCAGAGAGAGAAACCAACCATGGAAAGCTTCAATTGCTGCCAATTCGATTTCGCTAGTCTCGAAGACTTTCGCTGGCTCTGTATCACTTTTGTGTGGCTCTTCTTATTGCAACGTTTGGTAAAATCAGTTTCCAGTATCTGTGGAATGAGAAACACAAATCGGAGGGAGAAACTAGGGTTTCTGGGTTCGAGTGGTGTTTCACTACTCAGCAGCCATTGAAAGCCTCTCCACTCTCCACCACTTTGATTTTCGATTCATCTTCGTCATCCTTAAATTAATTAAAGCCATTCAATTATAATTAAATACTCTTTTTTATAAGTTGAGTAAAACAAAAGAAG